AATTTTATTTTTTTTCAAATGTATAAAAGCTTTACCGAAACTTTAGTATTTTTTAAAGCTTTTTTGTACTTAATTTTACATCAACATTAGTTTGAGTGCTAATGCCACATTTAGACTTGTATAAACGTATAACTAACTTGTCTCTGTGAAATAGCTGCTTTATTATTTTAATTTTCACGCGCCCACAATACATCCCTCCATGTGCGATCTCCCTTGCTCACTTTTTAATACATACTTGTGTAGTACTGTTATGTGTTCAACGTAATTGCCGCTGATTATTTCGTTATTTCTTCTTTTACATTTACTTCTACGTCAGCTGTCGGTTTTGTTTTATTTTCTTTTTTAAACTACCAATTTGTTTATTATTATTGCTTTTGTTTGTTTAAACCTCCCTCCTTCTATCGCTTTGACTATGAATTTAAAAGAACTGTTGGCTTTTTACTTTTCTACATATCGTTTTTTTGTTTTGTTTTGAAGAACACCGAATCTCCAGAAGTGACGTTATTTAAAAAGAAAAAAATTATAAAAATTCCTACTAATTCAAACATTTAGTTTCAAACACTATCCACATTTTTACAATTTCGCAAATTCTAAGCGCCGAAAAGTAATTAAACACATATAGTCATTAAAGAAAAAGAAACAACGAAATTTATTCAATTCTTGCACATTAAAAAAAGTTCCATAAATCTAGGCGTACGGCCTTCGTAATTGCAATCCAAGGCAAAATATATTACGTAAAACAGTAACTGCTTGTTTTGTTTTTATTTTATAGTTAATAAACAAAATGAATAAATTTTCTTGCATTTTGTTTTCCTTTTAAATATTCGTCGATTTTCAAAAATTAATAAAAAGTAAGCAACACTTATTAATTGCTAGAAAAGTATCGCGTATCCAATGAATCTGCTACCACCAAAAACTCCACAGCCAACACCAACCAACCACTTATTTCACAATTCTCACCTCACTTTCGACAAGGCGTTTCGTAACTTACCGCCGTATCTCAAATTACCGCTCATACATACATACATACATACATAGTTACACACATACATACGCGCGTACTTACATAAATTATTAAATTTCTCACATACATACTTACATACTTTACCTAGTTCTTTAACTTAACATATACATTTATAGAATCGCTTATATGCTTTAGCTAACTAAAAAAAATTATATAAATAAATACGAATACACGTTTGGAAATCGGTTATCTATTGTCAAATACGATTATTGTGTAAGACTTGTAATTTAGTTAAGTTTAATTGAGTTGAAAAGAGTTTTGAGTTATGAGTTAGAAAATGAACTATTTATCCGATATATATTCAGATATCTGCTATTTGAGTTTTGCTTCCTGTTTTAAGTAAAACCTACTTGTTTTCCTTAGTACATATAAACGAGTTATAAAACTAGTTCCTTTAGAGTGTTAAAAGTTCGAAAATGTTATGAAAACGTTGCTAGTTCTACATATAAACCCAATTTTCTAACTATATTTTTCTAATTTTTACTGAAGATGTTTCGAAGTCGCAATAAAGTTATAAAAAATTATACCTTAAGTTGTTTAAATCATTTACGATTCAACAAAATCTTTATGAGTGAGATATAAATGTGGTTAACAAGGTTTCACTTTAGCTTTAGGTAGGTCCGTATCAGAAGGTCAGCTTTGTAGAACCACAGCAAAGGTTTGCAACGAACTTTTTTTTTTTTACAAAACCGAGAAGATGCGAAAAATTCGTCAATGTGTGTTTTGTTTGAAAATTTTGTATAAGCGATATTTTCGAGGTGTATATTGTATGATTAAAAAACAAATAACTTTCATGAGATATTCTATTAAATCTTTGAACTTTGAACTGAATACATTGGATTCAGCAAGAAAATGGTCATACATCAGAAAACATATGATTTTTTATAAAAGTTTTTCTTAATAGTAGTCTTGAAAGCCAAACTGGCCAACTCCCATATTAGCTCAAGCAATAAAGACAAAAAAATGCCAAACTTCAGAATAGTTAAGAGAAAGCTGGATTTTTGCATCGATCTTTCATTTGTGGTTTTAAACATTACACCGCAACTAGAGCTGTTACGAGTTGCCAAAGGTAACGGAAAACGAGATTTTGCGAAAATCGTGTTAAAGCTCTATTTTTATAGAAAAATATGTTCGTTAGGTAACTTTTTTCTCAAAGAAATTTCATGCAAAAAGTTGGTAACCAACAGTGTGCATTAGGGTTGTGCATTTTTAGGCACGCTAAACCGATTTAAAGTCAATCTATAGAGGATTAGACCGCAGGTTGTCGCAGTAGCTCCTATAACTCGCGTTCGGCTGGAGCTTTTATAGCCCAAACTTTAAACTGTTGGAAGAAAACGAATACCTCCTTGTATTTATGTACATACATCTACGGGCTAATGGGCATTTGCCACGAACTATTTCAATTTTTTTTTTAAAGACTACCTTTAAAAAATCGAGTGGATTATTACTATGATCAGCTTTCTCTCTCGTTCATCGTACTATCTTTGCACAAGAATGGCATCCACTTTACGAGTCCTTGCTTTATCCGCGATTTTTTGCTCTACAAAAGTAAATATAGCGTTTTCAATGTTACCGCTGAAGAGCAATATTTCGTATTCTAAACATATTTAGTGATGCTTCCCAGTGGGAAAGGTGGTAATGCATTACATGCGTGATAAATAATGTAATGTATTTCTAATGAGTTCTAGATTCTATTTCTGTTTAATATGTAATCAGAATTCTAATGTATCCAAAAAGTCGCAAAAATTTCATATTAAATCGCATTCATTTTTGCATTACTGGTAATGACCCACTTTTCCTACGACATCGACGTGGGCAAAAAAATAAAGCATTTTCGAATGTGAAAACGGCTGTTTTACCGATAATTTTATCGATTACTATACATTACTTTTCCCACTGAGTTGTGGAGCGTTTGATGGCATTGGAAATGCTTGTTTTTTTCGTAGCTGGGGCCCAGTCTCGTGTATAAATCAACTTTTCGTAAGAAAACTTAAATGCTGCTTTGGAATTTGCTAAAATATCGTTGGTAAACCTAAGCCATGGATGGTATCGATAACACCATCGATGGTTTGCCAACTCTAGTATAGACGTAAACAAAATAAAATAAAATAAATTGTTGAAGAATTTTAGGCCCGCCTTTTCTTTTTATATCTTTTATTTTCGTTACACAGTATAAAGTGCAGTCGGTGACTAAATATTGTGTAGAAAATAAAAACAAAAATCTATATTAAGTATCCATGGTCGGCTTGCTTTTACGTCGTCCAAAAATGGTTGATATTTCTTGGTTGTTCTAAGGCATATTAAATAGGTAGTAGCAGAAGAGCAGTTGATTTGATTTTTTTCACATTATTTGGTCTCTAAACTGTCACATAATAATTTTTTTTAGAAAAATTCTTAAATGGCAAAAGGCATTTGCATGCGAATCTTCAAAAAAGAGTGTTCGAAAGCAACCTTTGGAACGTTTGCTTAACCCAAGAGCTCAAAGGCTGATTACTGGGTCCTGTATTGATGCTTCTGGAGTGAAAAAAAAGTTACAAAGCAAGAAAGCCGCACCAATTTTTAATTTTTTATACAATTTTTAGTTTATTTTTCACATCGCTCACTATGGTAATTAAAAAAAAAAAAAAGTTGAAATTGTTTTGATAAATTAAACACCAGAAGCAACAACAAAATACGCGTAAATGTTGTTGTTGCTGTAATGCTATTATCTGTTTGATATGTCTTGGGTTGTTCGAAAACTGAATAAAGGTTTAATTTCAGTAAACATTTCAAGTAGCATTTATCATTCCTAAAGTATGTTAAATTTATTACTTTATCCGAATGTTAAATCCGATTTTAAGCAAGGAAAAGGTTTTCGAGATAGCATAACAAGAGTTTGGAAGCAACGGTTTTTCTTTTAGACGTTGGGTGATTTTCTTTTTGCTTTGTAAGACTTTGCATTGCGTTTGTCCAAGTGTTCTGAGAGGAATAAAGTTTTATAAATTACTAAGTTAGTCACCATTTCTATAGTCATATGACCCTACTAGAGAAGGAGTTTTGGACCGACCCATTCTTCATACACTCAAATAAACACCAATACACATAAAAAGAGCTCTAAAAATTCGCCTGTAATTTTAAGGCAGCAAAACAAAGACCTGTTTAGAATGTCATTAAATGTTCATAATTTTTAACAGGGCTTTGAACCGAACCGCGTTTTGAACCAAACCGTTGCAGTTTTTCGGGCTAAGACGCACACGAAGTAAAAGCTCTTTTTGTCGTCACCGAGTTCATAAAGAGCTTTTACTCTATGCGCGTCCAAATTCTGGAATTTCGTTTTGAATAGAAAGCCGCCGGGCTAATTTTTGAAGCATTCCTCTGCAGACGCATTTTTTTGTGCGACCTATCGTTCGAGATGCATAATAAGAATGTAAGTTTAGTTAGCTGATACTCAGCTGTAAATGTCTAAAAGTGCGAGGAAAGGAATTTCTGTAATTTGATGAATTGTATATAAACCTTTCAATTTCTTAGCGAAACACGAAAACACTTGTCACAGAAATCTTGTTAACCGCATCTGATATTCTTAAAACTCAAAATAAAAGATTCACTGTAAAACTAAATACTATCCGTTCAATTATTCAGTCCGCATTGTGTTATTGAATTAAGAGAAATTAAGTGGAACCCATCTTTGAGTTTTGTTGCAAAGTTCCTGTAATTATCCAATACATGTTTAAAAAAACTTTTGGTTAGTTTGTATTCCATTTTAAATTCCGCGTTCCAAGTTAATCAACGAATATTTTATCAAGTTCCACCTTCTACTGTTCAACTATATCTATCGCTCTCCACTTCTCAAACCTACCTCAAATTCTGTCTCTTTGTCCACTAATCCCTTCTCATCTCACCTTTGAGATATGAGATAATTAAACTCCTCTCGTAGTTAAATACGGTCCTAAAATCCATTATTATTCATTAATCAGTTGAATTGTGTGCACATTTCCAGGGGATGATCGGTCGCGGTGGTAATGTCGGTATGCAGCAGCAACTTCAACAACAACCATATGGTCAGCAACAGACGCAACAGCAACAACAACAGCAGCAACAACAAATGGGTATGGGCCAGATGGGGCAACAACAGCAGGGCATGATGGGCCAACAACAGCCGATGGGAGGACAAATGGGCCAAATGGGTACCATGGGTCAGATGGGACAGATGACGCCACAACAACAGCAACAGCAACAGCAACAACAGCAGCAACAACAACAACAACAACAACAGCAGCAACAACAACAACAGCAAATGGGTATGAGCGGACAAATGGGGCAGATGGGTCAAATGGGCCAAATGGGTCCTATGGGCCAGCAACAACCGCAGCAGCCCGGCATGATGGGCCAACAGCAAATGGGTATGGGCGGTCCGATGAGCGGTATGATGGGGCAGCAGCAGCAACCGCAACAGCCGCCCGTAACGACGCAGTCCTCTGGCGGTTTATTCTCCGGGGCGACTAGCCTACTCTCAGGTGCTACTTCGGCTGCCACCGGTGGTCTATTTGGTTCGAAACAACCACCGAAACAAGATCCAATGCAACCACCAGTCGGTGCGCAGCCAATGCAGCCAGGCCAACAGCAACCGGGCCAACCGCAGCCGGGTCAACCGCCGCAAGGGCAACAGCCACCGCCGCAGGGTCAGGGACCCGGGGCGGGGCTGTTGGGCGGACTGAAGGGCATTGCAGCGGCGGCGCCAGGCGGCGATGTACTGTCAAAAGGCAAAGATCTCTTCGGCAAATTCGGATTCGGCTTCGGCAAATAACCCTGGTCATTTTGTAGGAACTTTCTATTTGTATTGTATTTAAATTTGTATTTATTATTATTACTAATATTAACTAAAAGACAAAAACCAAAACGACAACAACAAAAATCACTATTATTAACGCTAAAATATTACAATAATAGTACATATTATAAATATGATAATAAATATGATTATTATAAATCAAATCAAGCATACGATGGCAATATTGAGTATGCTAAACTAACGGTACTTATATTTTTTATTACATAATAACCAATGGAGAATCGCAAGATGGTGAATAACGGCGAACAAAAAATTAATATAAATATTTAATATTTTTTTTTTTGTTGAGTAGCGCTAAAGCGGCGAATATACATATACATCGCTTAGATGAACGGTGGGCTAACGAGGGAGGGCGTAAGTGTATATTGACACGGTGGTGCATGTTAAATAGAGGCGGCGAAGTATCTATAAGTGTTTGGGGGGGAGAATGGACGCTTGTATCAGAAAGCGAGTCCCATAACTAAGTAAATTTAAAAATTAAAAAAAAAAAAATCAACCCGAACACTAAGAGAAACAAAACCTATAAAATTGTTGTAAAAACTAAAATGTAAGTACACAGTTATACACAGCGGTACACGGACTTACAACGTACATGACAACTAACAAATTAAAGCACATACACATATGCATACATACATACACGTTAATACGTATATACATACCGAATGACCGTCACGTCTGTGACAACAAAAATGCAATAATATTCGATTAAAAATAAAGAAATTAAGGAAAATTAAACACAAATCGTAATATTTAAAATTACCTAGAACACATTCAACTAATTTATTTCAATTCTTCGTGCGTACATATGTACATTTACTTACTGACATACTATACACTTATACATACATACATATGTACGTACATTATACATATATAATATACATACGTACGCATATAGATATGGACACATACATACATACATACATACATAATTCCATACAAAGCTAAATAACAGAGAAAACAAATTAGTAAAGTAATACATAAATATAAATATTATGATAAATAAAAATTATTAATATTACAAATTAAAATGAAGTATATATTATATATAAATACATGAATATATTTACAAGAAAAAAATTATTTGTTACGCACATTGTTAAATTTGCTACTGTTGCTGACCAGTTTATAAATAAAACTAAATGAATAAAAAAAAATGAAAAGTCAAATATGCATAAAAACAACAAAAATGTATGCAAGAAATGAGACAAAGGCGCGGAAAACGCATAAAAAACATAAAATAAAAAAGAGGAAATTGGAAATTGAAAAAATATCTACATATTATATATTCTGTGAGTGTATGAAAAACAAATTATTAAAAACAAAATAAAAAGCTCATAGTAAAAAAAAATTATACATACACACATCCATGGTACATACGTCATAAACTTGCATTACTTTGAAGAAAAAAGAATCAAAACAGAAAAACTACAAAAAAAACAACATAAAATTGGCAAATAAAGTCCAAAACACTTGTAAACAACCACTATCCCTAAATTTTCCAAGGCAAGAAAAAAGAGAAGAAAAATCTTATTGACTTCATTATTGCAAAATGATACATTTACATGCATATATACAAACGTACACATACGAGTATAGTAAATACTTATAAAAGTGAGTTGAATGGTATAGGAAGAAATCTGCTTTAAAAGTAACATTTAAACTTGAATGCTAATAATTTACACTAAAACTTATATAAATACAAAAAAAATTTAGTTAATGCTATTTCCAATTGATTATAAATTAAAACAAAAAAATTAAACAATCTTATCTACATAACTACATAAATTTAATATACACAAGAATATTTCTAAAACTTGCAAATGAATACAAAAATAAAATTACGCTTTTTGTTAGAAATCTGGGAGGAAAAACTAAGAATTTCTGCTTTTTTTTATTAGTTTAAGTAGTATTTTGTACCTTATTGTTGGCTAAGATTGCTCTTTTGGTTCTTTAGTCATTCTACAATTTTAACACTTCATTTTTGCAGGGAAAGCTAACATTTCCAAACATCGTATAAAAGCTTTCTTGAACCTGAAAATTTTTTCCAACTAATGAAAAACAAATCTTTAATTCTTTAATAAAATTTTCCTATAAATTTCGTTTTTCAAGCATTATTTAGTACCTTGATAAGCTTATTAAGTACTATTGTAATTCAGAAATGTTTTGGAGAACTCCGAGTAGATATAAAATAAAAATAAAATAACCAAAAAATAAAGCAAATTATTATTTTTGCGGACAGGTGGTTTAAAGTACCTAAAACAAAATCAATTAAGAAGCGTCGCACAGTGGTCTGGGAGCGGCAAAACCACAAATTTTTCAGGCAGTAAATAAGGAAAATTGACTATAATTTGGATGCGAAGAATTATTCACTAACATGTTTGAAAATACTGTTTTTGATTCGTTTTATAACCCTGGAAAGAGTCATGAAAAATGCCTATTCTAACGACAATCATTTCCCACTTTGTGTATTTCATCGAGTTCTCCTGCATTGTTCTGGATGTGCTTTGTGGAAATCAGAGACCGAGAACAAAAGTATGTTGGAAACTAAATGTCGTTCTCGTAGTCTTGTTCCCAAGAAGGGTACCGAATGGGAACAAAATCTTGGGAAGTGTTTGCACAAGAACGAAAGCGAGTCTCAGGACCTTTATCTCGAGTAGCGTTGCATTAGATTGAAATTGTTTGAATATTTATTAAAATTTATCAAACAGAACTGAAAGATAATTATGAACATTGAGTAAACGAAAGACTTAAGGCACGAACTTTTCTTGCAAGGAAAATTAAAAATTGTTCAATAAATGGATATTTTGTCGGAACCAAGCGCAAAACAACGCGTGCAAAAACACTGCACTAAGACTACAGGCCGTCCATTGCACTTTTTTCAGTCCTTTTTAATATGTTTTAAATCTGCACGATTTACGAATAAACCTAAGCTCAGATGTTCGTCTCTCAACAAATCGCGTTCAAATGCCTTAGGCTGTCCGCACCACGGGTCGTATGGCTTAAGACGAGTATTAGATGCTACATACGAAAGTTGTATGTTTTGATGTCGCACACGTGCATTTAAACGGAGGGCTGCATAAGTCAAAGCAAGCTAGCTGCAAATCGCTTGGCATACACTGTACTTATGCACCATACAATTTATTCTGTTATAATTCTACAGAATTTTTTCTTTTATACGATACCGTTATTGTTATCCTAAATTGAAATTAATCTTTTAAATGATTTTTCGAAATAATCGTATTTTTTGAATTTCAAAATCCCATAAAAAAATCCTGACGTCAGAGTGGAAAACTAAGATCGCAGTTTTACTATAATTTACCCATAATTTCGCGAATATATTTATTTCTTGTTGTGTGTAAAATTTACTGTCGCACGGTGTTATAAACCAATTGAAAGCGCCTATAAAATGTGTTAAACAGATGAGTGAACATTACCATTATTACTTACCTGTTCATATCTGCCAACCCGATAGGTAGGCCAGGAAAAAAATATACAACCCAACGTTAAGTTTTTGCATGTGCAAGCATGTCGTGTAACTTGCAACTCAAACTGCATTTGCAATACTTGCACAATGCTTTCTTGGAATCATTCAAATCTGCCACAATCCAGTCTTTTAGCTCT